TTTTTCTTGTTCTTTTTTCTTTTAAAGAGACTTTTTCTGTAGGGCATGTGTGCTCGCCAGAGAGACAGACACAGAGAGAAAGTGAGAAATGGCCCCTTGGGGGGGGTGGTCACACCGCAATACCTTCTCCTTCATTCTCGGGATTTTGAACATGCATGCATATGTGCCTGGTGTGAGTTTCAATCTGCCAGGTCTGGGACTTGAACTGTGGTCGACTATGAGAGTCCAGCGATGTAACCATTACACTATCTGATAGTCCCTGACATTGGGGTCTTTGTGAAAATACCCACTCTGAGTGCATTGCCCTTTGGGGGCTTGAATTTTTATGCAGTTGGGCCTTGCCTTGGATGGAGCTGTGAGAAAGGGGGGAGTTATTGCAAGTGGCCCAAGAAGGACTATCTGACCTGTATCAGGCCAAGAGTCTGGCTATTAAGATTCACGCCATGTGCTCAGCCACTTCATCTAGACCGTGGAGCTCTCCTCATACCCTAAAAGCAGGTGGTGAATGTTCTCCTGCAGGGCAGCATGCTGAGCAAGCAGGGGTCCCTTCCTCCCAGCCCCCAGACCCTTGAAGGTCTGCCAGCCAAGGAGGGCCCCTCCCAGTGAGCTTGGCCGCTGTGGGCCTGGAGGCAGGGCAAGCTGCATTGCCTTACATCTACCTTCACTTCCGTGGGGAAGCCTAGGGTTCAGCACAGGCCACATCCTGCTGGAGGCTGCGCTGTCCATCCTAGCTGTGGTCGGGGGCTGCTGCAGGCCTGTGCACCCCCCATTCGGCTGTCTCCCCGTTTTCCACAACTTCTTTGTACTCAAAGGCTAAATGGAAGGCGAGTGAAGGTCTCCACATGGACTCAGGGCATGGGCCTGCTTGGATGTTTTTTATTTTTTTTTCCTCCTCTCAACTGATGCTCCTGATTTGCTGCTTCCTCATTCTCCTGACTCCTGGCCCTGGAGGCTGAGTGTGTCCTGGGCCAGCAAGAGCCTTCCTGGGCTGGCACCTGCTTTGTGCTTCCTTGCCAGCGTAGTGCCTCTCTTGTCTTCCACACAGCTGGGGCTCCAGGCCCTGCAGAGCTGTGGGAAGCCTTGACAGTCAACAGGTGGCACTGTGACACTAGCTTCCTGCTTGTCATGTGAAACACCTGTTGCTGCAGGCCTGGCCAACCCATCAGTACGGTCAGGGTGGCAACACCATAGGACCTTCTTGTTGAGACGCGCTCTTCCCCATCTCTTAATCAGTTTGTCCTCTCCTCCTCCCCCCCCCCTTCCTCATAGCCTGACAGAACTGACAAAAAGCTTACATGAGCTACAGCTTTCCCACTTGACATGGACCCTGTTTCCCTGGTATTATCAGAGAGAGTCCGTCTCCCCTGCCTTCTCTTGTTTAATCAACCTTTTCTGAAAGCATGATAGCTCTACTCGGTGTCCAAGAACATCTTACCAAGAAAGCCAAGTCAAATCCTGGTATGGGGCCAGCATGGTTCTGCCAAGGACACATCTGGACTCTGCCAATGGTGATTGTGGACTTTAGGAAGTTTCTGGGACTTGCTGGCTCCCACCCATTGGCCATACAAATAGCTGAGAATTGTCATCGGGTGAGGATCCTTGGGAGCGGAAACAGGGCGATGGGCAGTGGGCGGCAGGGAAAGCCAAGTCAAATCCTGGTATGGGGCCAGCATGGTTCTGCCAAGGACACATCTGGACTCTGCCAATGGTGATTGTGGACTTTAGGAAGTTTCTGGGACTTGCTGGCTCCCACCCATTGGCCATACAAATAGCTGAGAATTGTCATCGGGTGAGGATCCTTGGGAGCGGAAACAGGGCGATGGGCAGTGGGCGGCAGGGCAGGTAGCAAATACAAATAGCTGAGGATTGTCATCGGGTCAGGATCCTTGGGAGAGGAAACAGGGCGATGGGCAGTGGGCGGCAGGGCAGGTAGCACAGCAGGCGTCTCTAGGCTGTGGCGTCCTGTGCTGTTATGCCTGCAGGTTCATAGGTGCCCGTGAGCCACAGTCTGTCCCAGGGGCCCAGTGAACACTGGAGCAGTATAGTGGGGACAGAAAAGCATACAATCATGTGCCTGGGAGAGCCTGTGCTGGGGGAGTGTTCTCCAAGGGACTGGGTCCCATCATTAGGACTGGTGGCCCAGTGTAAAAGGGAGCAGCAGAACATTCCAGAAGGCTGAGCGCTTCCCCCCCCCCCCCGGGAACAGACTGGGGCCTGGGGGGCAAGGGGAACGACCCATAGGGGAGGGCTTCCTCAGCTCCTATTGTAGCCACCAACCTGGTTGGCTAGGCTACTTGGGTCTGAGACAGCGCCCTCCCACTGCTGTCTTCAGTTTCCTCTGTTGGTACGTAGACTGGCAAACTCTGTGTAGGCCTGTTCCCCTTGGTGCCAGGCCCCCAGGTAGACCTACTGCAGCTCACACAAGACCCCTCACCTGGTAGGGAATGTTGCTTGTCCTGGTTGTGGCATAAGGTTGACTAAAAAGCTCTTTTTCATCCTGTCATATATGGGGCCTAGAGGTGAAAGGAACAGTGGCTGTCCTGGAGTCAGAGGATGGGCAGTTGAGGATGGCAAGGCCCTTGTGGAGGGGGATGCACTAGGGTTGCTTAGGGGAGCCCACTGGTAGTGGGGTGGTGCTGAGGGAAAGGTTTTCCAAGAGGATGGAAGTACCATAGTGTAGACCCATGTGGGTTCTGAGAACAGCCAGGGCTGGCATTGCTGGAGCACAGGACCATGTGGTTGATGAGGAGGGGAGCCAGGCTATAGGGGGTCCCAAATGTCACCTGGGCAGGCTTGGCTTGCTGGAGGGTGGGTGTAGATAGGAATGTGGTATGGTTGTGGACAGAGAGGTGGCACGGTGCTATCAGCACACAGGAGGGCCTGAGGCGGTAAGGCCCACTGTGGACAGGTGGCGTTTGGAGTGCTCTGGGAGTGTCTGGGAGCCAGTTCAGGGGTTGAGTCAGCAGGGAGAAAGGGTAGACCATACCAGGAGCAGGGTAACCAGGTGGTGACAGGTGTAGTGGCAGCAGGGGGGTGACAGGTTTTGGGTCACCATCCACGGGTGGGTATCCAGTGGTGGCTCATTAGCAATGGGAAGCCTCCAAAGTATTGTGAGCTCGGGTGGCTAGAAGAGCACTGGTGGCCCTGCTGGTGACTTAGGCCTTGGCCAGAGAAGGTTGAGGAACAGGTGGGAGGGGTGAGATGAGGGGCTTGGGCATAGCGACTCCAGGAAGGAGGTGATTGAGGGGTGAGCTTTCCAGGGGAGGGTTATCAAGAACCACTGGCAGGAAAGGGATGAGAGTATGTGGGTGGTGCACAAGATAACTGTCGGGGGGACCGGGGCCCACTCGGGGAGAGGAGCTGGGACCTTGCAGTGCAGCTTCTGTCATCCCTGTGTGCTTTCCAGGCCTACCGCTCCGGATGCCCAGTATGACAGCCATGGTCACTCACCAGTGCCTGGCCTGGAGTAGGGGGCATCCCTGAGTTGTGCCTGCTGTGTGTGCCTGCTGGGTCCTATCTCTACCACCAGGTGGCACACACGATACCCCACTTGCCCCATTTCCCGCTGAGAGGAGCAGGCCTGCTCCTCAACATCACGGGGCTTGGCCTGGGAGCTCTGTGCTGGGGGTGGGGCTTCATCAGACTTGCCTTTCTTCGTAGGCCTCTCCAGTGACTTCAGCCATGCTGATGTGAGTCAGGCGCGTTGCTTCCCTCTGGCTTCTGGGGCGCTTGGTAGCTCCCTCCGCCTCCAGGGCTCCAGCCCAGTGGGAGGCAGGCTGGTGGGCAGCCGGGGGCTGAGGCAGGGAAACCTGAGCCTGAGGCCACGAGGCCCTGGGCTGCTAATTTTAGAGAGCACATGTCACTGGAAACTCTCTTCTCCTGCCAGGAGTCAACAGCCTGGCTCTCCTGGTGCTGCCAGGGGCCCCTGGTAGCCTGTCCCCAAACCAGGGTCTGCAGAACAGGCCTGGGCTGAGAGGGTAGCTTACCTGGGCTGCCATCCTGCCCCCTGGGCTGCCTGGCTGTGGATGAGTAGAACCTGCGAGGGCCTGGCAGGGCCTAGAGCCAGCAGTCTGGGAGCTCCTGGGGCTACCACGCCACGCTCCTTGCCCAGGCCCTACATGCACCTTAGCCTACTCCAGATGATCCACTGGGCTGGGTCCTCCACACAGTGTGAGTGAGCTGTCTTTCTCGGAGGACAGCAGGAGGCTTGTCTTTGCCCCCTTCCTGCCAGCTCACATCTGAACCCATTCCCTCTGCGTGGGGATCAACATCGCTCCCAGCTGCCACCTGTTCATTGCCTGTGGCTGCTGTAGATAGGCAGTGTGCGCCTGTGCCCTGATTCTTCTTCCATCCCCTCTAGCCCAAGCAGCCCTCGATTTGGGTGCTCTTACATAACAGATGTGTTCTGGCAGCTGCCTGGATGGCGGGGTGGGAGGAAGGTGGGGCAGAGGAGAGAATCCTTCCTGTGGTCTATTAGGACCTGGGAGCTGTGCCCAGGTAGTGAGAGAGCTTGAGCTTTGGGGTCAGAGTTGGAAGGCCAGCCATATCTGTTCTTGGCCTTTGACCTTGGACAAGTTGCTTTCTGCCTACTGAGCTTCAGTTTTATTCTCTGTGGGAACTAACCATTGTGCAAGATGGGTGTGTGGAAGTGCCTGGGTGCGGCTTGGCTGGCACGTCTGGGTCCTGCCCTGGAAGGTGCCACAGTTTCAGAACCTCATGCCGTGGCTAGGCCCTGCCCTGGGTGTCCCTAGGCTCCTCCTTTCAGGCTCTCCTAGAGCCAAGGGTGGCCATTTGTGGGTTAGGGCCAAGGGCAGCTCCTAGTCCCTACTTCTCCCCTTGTGTCAACAGAGTCCATTGGCAGTTTTTCCTTTGCTGTCATCCTCTCTAGGCTGGAGGCAGACATGGGGAAGGCAGTGCCCAGGGGAAGTTCCTGGCAACCATTTCGTTCAGGGGCTCTTGTGCTTGCCCTCTTACTCACTTCTCTCTGTGACCACATGCAGCCTGCTTCGACGCCTGGTGACGCTCATCTCCCAGCAGGCCACACTGCTGGCCTCCAATGAGGCCTTTAAAAAGCAAGCCGAGAGTGCCAGTGAGGCAGCCAAGAAGTACATGGAGGAGAATGACCAGCTGAGGAAGGTGAGAGGGGTGCCGCCCTTGGCAGGGAAAGCAGACAGCAGTTTCTCAGTGGGGAAGGAGCAGGCACTGCCAGTGTCCTCCAACTATGAGGACTTGCTAGGGAAGGGACAGCGGTGCTACCATCTGCCTTCCATGTGTTGCTTCCACTTGGTGACCAGCTCTGGAAGGCTGGTTGGGGAAGCTGAAGTGGGAGCCAGACTTGCTCAGAGGCCTGGGCTTGGGATCATGGGGGAGTTGGGACTAGGTAGGGAAGGGGGCAAGTGGAGTTCCTCTGCTGTGGGTAGAGGTGGTGGGAGTTAGTTGGAAGTGACAGCAGAGAGCTCCAGATGGCAGATGGCTCTGCTGAGGAGGATGGAGGCCTGGCCAGGCAGCCAGCCCTATGGCCTGGGAGCTGCAGCAGGTGGCCCTGCTGGCCATGGCCTTTGCCTGGCGACTGGGAGCAAGTGGTGGCCCAGTTCTGCACTGACATTTCCGAAGGGGCCAGTGCCCAGAGCAGCTTGAGGAGCCACAGCTCAGTGGGGAGGACAGGCCTGGAGCCTCTCCCACCGCCCTCCCCAGTAACCCAGGCTCTTGGCGCTCTCCCAGGGAGGTGCTGTTGACGGAGGCAAGCTGGAGGCTGGGGATACCGCTGCGGTGAAGTTGGAGGATGAGAACAGGAGCCTGAAGGCTGATCTGAAGAAGTTAAAGGTTGACCTGGCTGCCACCAAGCAAAGTGAGAGGTGTCCTCGTGTGCCCTTCCCCCGGAAGTCCGGGGCCTCCGCTGCCCACTGCTACCCCTCTTATGCCAGAGTATTAGTAACAAACCTCCTGCGCCAGCCCCAGAGCTGGGTGAAAACAGACAGATAGCACCCCGTGCCCTCAGGCTCAGATGCAGGCGAGCAGCCACAGCACGTGCTGCAGCACCACACGCTGGCGGTTCTGCCGGAGGCAGGCGTGGAGCGCCAGGGGCAGGGGCCTGGGGGCTAAGAATGAGGACGAGTTAGGAAGGGAGCCAGGCAGGTTCTGTGGCGGGGGGCTG